CCAGAATGGTTTGGGTTGAAGGGACCTTAAAAACCATTTTTTTCCACCCCTGTCGTGGGCAAGGACACCTTCCACTATCCCAGGTTGCTCCAAGCCCTGTCCAACCTGGCCTTGGGATGGGACAGGTTCAAAATACCCAGGAATCTACCACAGACAAAACATTTTTGACTTCTCCATTTGTTCGAATAAAAATGATTTGATTAAAAAGGAAAACTGATTTCTTTTGTTCCAGCCAAAGAAGACAGTAGAAAGGAAGTCTCGTGGCAAGATAAAATGACCATGGATCAGTGAAGTGGCATAGCTGTAGTGTGTGTCTCATGTTTGCACACAATAACCCTGCTGTGGCCACCAAATCTTTCTTTGTGTGATCTCTAACGTGGGCTTGGCTTTTTCCTGCCTGTTTGCCTGCTTGGATCACTCAGTGCTCCTGCTTTGCTCAGCTCTGGACAAACACCCCAGCCCTGTTGCTGCCAGCACTGTCCTTGTCACCGAGTGTCTGCTCCGTGTGTGCTGCTGCATTCCCAGGAGCCTGCTGGGGTCACTCCCGGGCTTTCCACGTGGGATTGCAGGAGTAGGGTGTGCCTTGACAGGAGGGGGAATATTGCTGAGGAGGATTGATGGAGATCCTTCAGAACCGAGCACACTGTGTATGGATGGTGTGCTAGCCAAAAAATCCCTTCATTTGGAATAAATCCTGCCTTAAATCCTGCCTTAAATCCTTGTTTGCATACAGTATCAGTTAAATTATGCTGTTTGTGGTTTTCATTATCCTGGCATACCCAGAAGAACCTGATAAATTCCTTCTTTAGGATAGGATAGGGAGGTTCCTGCTAAATTCCAGGAAGTGGATTTATGCAATTAGCTTGGTTTAAATGCAGAATTTACCAAAATCTGGGCAGATTTATCCCTAGCAAAGGAAGACCATCTAAAAGACAAAAATATGCACTGTGAAGGAGTAAAAGAATATTCCTTAAACCATAAAAACTTGATCAAATTGATGCTGAGAGTGTTCTCCTTTAACTAAACAGCTCAAAGGTTTGGAGAACAGACATTGGTAATGATATTTTTGTCTTCTACTGTAAAATAGCTAATTTAATTTTTTTCTCTTTTTTTGACAGACTGAACCTATGGAATAGAAGAGAAAATGGACATTTCTTGCACAGAAGGTAATAAAAGAGTGTTGCAGTTCTGCTCATTTGTTGCTGTTAATTTAAGATGATTTTTGTTTAACTTCTGTAACTTCATGGGTAAGATAAACATGAAGATGTGTTTTTTAAAGGAAACTGCTCAAGATGAGCTGGTTTGTAATATTTAACATCTCATAGTCAGTATTTTTAAAAAGCTGCACTTTAGTCACTGAATAAACAGTGACAAAATTTTGCAGGGGGTTGAGTAAATTCCATGGCCAGTTAAGGAACGAGTGATGCAAGATTTCCTGTGTTAATCCAGGATTTTTACTTGTCAGCCCTGCTATCAGATGTTCTGGCCTGACAACAAAAGATTGCAAAATTTAAATCCAGTTTAAAAATAGCCCAAAGCAATATGCCCTACAGATATCCCCAAAATAGATCCTTACATGACCATAAATATAAACACCCTAAATTAGAGCCAAAAGCACTGCTCTGTATAGAAATATGGATCTAAAAACTTCCCAGAGATGAATTACAGGCCTTGCCTGTGAGATCAATAGAGAAACCATCATCTTTTCACACAGTCAATTTAAAATGACTAAAGCATCAACCTCATTTTGCCACTTAGCTCTGCAAAATGGATTTCAACCTGCAATATTTCTGTCTAAAGCTGCTGCCCAGTTTCTGAGAAAACAAACTGGGAACTTCCCAGCATAACTTCCCACTGGGTCACCAGGGTTTGGGTTGAAGTGGAAAATCAATATAATTTTTTTTTTTTTTTTTGCACTATGTTCCAAGCAGTCTCTGTAATATTAGATAAAGCAGCCACGTTCCTTACAGGAATGGGATTTTCCACCTGCTCAGACAGCAGTGGCTGCTCTTAATTCTCTATTATTTGTAATTCCAAAACGTTGTCCAGGATAAAAAGCTGAATATTCCCAGAAAAGCTCCAACGTAACTTCATTTCTTCTTTTTTTTTTTTTTTTTAGAAGATCAACTGCTGCCTTTTCCATGGGAATGATCCCTGTCCCCCTGGGATCAGAGGTGTGCTGCTCATGGCCTGCTCTCTTCAGAATGTTCTCTCCTGTTTCTTTCATTCTGGTTTTGTTCCAAATTTTGCTGTTGTGAGCGCATGTAAACCTGTTTAAAAAACAAACAAACAAACAAACAAAAAAAACCGACCCAAAAAACACTGATGTTAATGTAGAACTGCATTACATTCGCACAACTATTTTTTTAAGGTTTTAAAAAAATGCAAAAGCAATGCCTGAAATTGCTTCTCTGTTTTAATTACAGGGCTCCATCTTCACAGATTTTTTTTTTGTTTCTTGTAGCAGTTTGATTTTAAATGTACGAAGCTTTCAAGAGTGGTCTGTGCTTGTCCTGAAAGATTTTTGGTGAAACAGTTGTTTGTTTTATTCATATGTGGAAAATGTTAAATATCTTTTATTTAAAAAAAAAAAACTTGATAAATTACATGTACAATTACAATTCAATGATCTTTTGTATTTTATTTTTCAAAATAAATGCTTTAAATGTGATTTTTTTTTTGTTTATTTATTTCTTAATGAATGGTTTTGCTTCCACCTTAAGATTTAAATAATTCAAGATGTGTTAGTTATAATTCAAATATTGATTTGAGGGAAGATATGATCTCATATCCTGGGTTTGGATCTTATTTAAGGTTTGCAATTTAATGCTTTTAAGAGCTGGGTGGTGATGAAATAGTAAATTGGAGTGTCCCACTGGGAGGTACAACGTGCGATTTGTTTACTGCAGGAAGAAGTTGGTAATTTTTAGACTCTTGAATTTGTTCTTCAAAAGTAATTTCATTCAGAGATGCTCTGCTGGGGGAAGCTGCTGCTGTGAGTTGTGTGCTAAAGTTTCCATCTTTAGGATGCAATGTGCAACAGGATTATTTCCAGAGGTATTTTTGGCACGGTTGTTGTGTCTCAATTTCTGCTCTCAAGGTGCTGATGGTGGTTTCAGCCTTCCCCGCTGGTTCTGAGAGGAGTTCTCGCCAAAATATTTCTATTTCCTCGGATTCAGGATTTGACAGAATTGTGTTTTTTCTCGGTTTGGGATGATGAGAGCTCCGAGAATTCCCCGCTCCGTCCCTCCCGCGGTGCCGGGGCCTCCCCTGCTGCCGGCTGAGGGCAGCGCGGCCGCGCCGCTCCCGAGGCCGCTCATTAACCGCGGCTAATTAACTGTAGCTCATTAACCGCGGCTCATTAACCGCGGCTCATTACGGCTGGGCGTTTCCCTCGGAGCTGCGGGCACTGAGGGATCTCCCCGGGGCCGTTCCCGGGGCCGGCTCCGCCCGCCGGGACCCGGATGGGCCCGTACGTGACGCGGGGCCGCGGCCGCTCCCCCGGGCCGGAGCGGAGCCAGAGCCGGGCACCAGGTGAGGAGCGCGGGCGGGGAACAGCCGGCCCTGCTGCCCTCATCCCCTCACACATCCCTTCATCCATCCCTTCGCTCATCCCTTCATCCATCCCTTCATCCATCCCCGGCCGGGCTCTCCCGGCTCCGCTGCAGGTGAGGGAGCGGCGGGGAGGCCGCGGGGCTGGAGGGGATCGGGCGGCGTGAGGGGAGCGGAGCGGAGGGGCCACCCCCTCTCAGCGGCGACACGGGTCAGGCTGTCACCCTGGCGATCATCCGGAGTTCATTATTAATCAGTTATTAATGAATTAGTGGTTATTTGCCTGGGTTTGTGCTGCCCCATCCAGCCGCAGTGGTGGTGTCTGTGTGGGATGCTGCTCACAGCTGTCAGGCGGCTCCAAGCTGTAAAAGCTGTGGAATTGTGTGTGAGGGGCAGTGCCAGGCACCAGTGGTCACTCCCAGGCAGGTGTCCCTGCTGTCCTGTCCTGTCCTGCAAGGTCACTGTGATGGAGAGCCCCGCTGTACCCACCCACACCCCCTGTCTTTGCTGTCGGCTGCAGAACTGGGGTTACATTGCCCTTCCATCACACTCCGTGGTGTTTGTGACTAGAGATGCTGGGATTTTACAGTCCGGGATTCTCCAGGCCAATGTACAACAGAGTTTATTGCAGCTCAGAGATCCCAGCCCCTTCTCCGGGATGATTCTTTGCTGTTCTGAAACAGATTAATTGGAATTTACCAGATTTTGTGTCTTTTCCCTCTATATTCACCTTTCAATTGTCTGTGTCTCTTGAAGTTGGTGATACAGACGCTGTAAATCAGGTCTCATTCTACCCCAAATTCTCTTTAAAAAGAGAGAGCTTTCTAACAATCTCCAAAAAAGCACTTCCCAAAGAGTTACCTTTGAACAGGAGTTTGTGTGGGGTTCCTGTGATGGGTTCATACATCAAAACTTGGATGAAGAAACCTTTGACTGTATAACCATTATGTAATTTTTTGTTAGTATGTAACTTTGTGTTTGCAACTTTGCCAGCAGTGGTGCAGCCTCAGAAGATATTCAAGAAAAAACTGTTTAAACCAATATGGAGAAGTTGAGGGAACAGCAGAGCTTTGAAAAGCTTTTATAAATCTTAGCATCAAGCCCAGTTCAAGGGCTGCTGTCATTCCCTGGGGAATGAAGCCAAGCTGGCAGGGCCAGTTCATTTACTGAGCTTTCTTTGCTGTGTGTGTCAAATATCTGAGCTGTCCCCAACAAAGCTCCAGGAAGTAATCTCAGCTTTTAAATGACAGCTGGAAGGATTGGAAGGAGACATTTCTGGTAGAGTTGGATGCTGCTGATGTGTGGTTCAATCAAATATTTGATTTAAGGATGATTTTGTTTATGGGTGGTGTTTTCCCATTAACTATCTGTTGATCTAGACCTGGATGTATTTGCAAGTGAAATGGAGGCATATGCTTAGTTTAAATAAAATCTGTAAGTTTAATGAGAGATTTAACAAAGGAATGTTTCTGCACATAGTTAAAAATAATTATTGGACTTGCTTTAAGTGCAAAAAGAAGGATAATCCCAGGTTTGGATGGGATGGATTGGAGCAACCTGGTTGTGGACATGGCAGGGGGGTGGAACTGGATGATCTTTAAGGTCCAGTTCAACCCAAACTATTCTGGGATTCAGATGGATGTGTTTTCTTCATGAAATGCAGTGATTAACTTCTGCTTTTCTTCCAGGAGGACTCTGCTCCTGTCAGCACAGCTCTGTTTCACTGCTCCCTGAACAGCTGAAGCCAGCCTAGAGAGGGACTTCACTCACCTTTTAATGAACGCTAAAAAACAGGTTCAACTTGTCAGTCATTAATCTTTTTATTGCCACTAAGCTTGTTCTCAAAATGCTGGTGTCATGATCATCTAGTAAACCTCATTACTGAGAGATTGTTTTGTGGGGATGTTCCAATAGCACAGCAGGTTGGCACTCCTGAGCAGAATGCAATTAATGCTGTCTCATGGCTTTTTTGCTCAACCCTTGGTGTCATATTGAAGGAGATTATGAAAGAGGGAGAAAAATCCCTTTTTCTCAGGCCTCTAGCTCTGTGAGGAAAGAGGCTGAACTTACCCCAAAAACCCATTCTGTGGTCAATAATGCTGATATATTTAATGGAGTGAATGTTGTTTATTCACATTGCACTCCATTTAAGTGAAATCTATGGGACATCCTTGAAAAATGCAGACAAAGAACACATTTTTGGTCAATCTTGTGTTCTTTTGAGTACTCTGAAGAGAACTAGAAATAGCAGCCAAAGCACTGGTGTCAAGTGGCAGCTTTATAAATAATGCATTGACAGTAAATACAGGCTCACCCTCAGTTTTTGACTGTGCATGTTATAAGTGCTGTTCTGCAAGCTCTTTCTGGCTGATAATTTATTTACCTCCTTAAAGGAATCCCTAGTAAAATCATCTTTCATTTATATTGTTGCTATTCTTTATCTGTGAGGCATAGGTGAGTTGTTTGGATAATTGATGATGACAGAATAAATGTTGTTTTAGGACAAATAGTAAAATTGTTGATAGGGTGTGGCCCTTCAGAAGCACTTCCATCCTTGTTTATCTGCCTGTACATTGGACTGGGGTGGAAAAATAATTATGAACTGTAGAGAAGAGAAATTCAATCCCTCTCTGAGCTGAGCCCACACATTTAATGAGCTGCAGCTTAAAAACGTTTGGTACTTCACAGTAGCTACTTATCTATGTTTATTAGGGTGTTAAACAGGATCTAGAATTCATCCCCAAATTTTGGGGAAGGAAAGCTGTGGATGCTGCCACAGAATGTGGAGATTTTGATCTGATCAGGTCTCTATAAAGTTCCTGTTTTGCTCAGGAGCCTCCCAGCTCTGTCTGGGTTCACTCTGAACTCAGCATTTCCTTTAACAGCTGAGCTCTAACCGTGTGCACAATGACTGTTAGCAGAATTATTCAGGCAGATTTTTAAAATGTTATGACATTTTTTTCTTGCTGATTTTGAGGGGAAGCATCCTTTTAGTTAATAAATAAATGTGCCAGATGTGCTTGTGCAAATAATCCTCCTCTTTCTTTATTTATAGTGGTTTGGGAGAAGGTTTGGAGGTAGTAAAGCCTCTGGTAGTGGGATGTCTGTCAGGGAGCTGTGATGCTGCTGGAGCCATCCTGGGAGCAGGGATTTTACATAATGCAGTGCAAGGAGAGCAGCGGGGTTTCTCTTTGCTACCCTGCTCTTTCAATTATTATTTTTATGCTGCGGTTTGTCCGTGCAAGGATGGGCCGAGAATTGTTAAATTCAATTGATAATTAGCAGCGCGATAAGGAGAGTTAAATGTTTGTGTCTCGTGTGCGGTGCGATGTGATGCAGCGGGCAGGGAAACGCCTGGTGAGAAATCCCGGATTTGCCATTTCCCAGGGAATTCCAGAGCCCAGCCGTGCCCGTCCCCGCTGCTGAAGGTGACAGCCAGAGCCGGGTGTCGCCGATGTGGCAGGGCCGTGTTCCTGCATCCCGCCCCTGGCGAGGGACAGGCTGGGACAGCGGCCACCCAAATTCTGCCAGCAAATGACATTTCCCTGCAAAGCCTCGCCGGGCCAATCGCTCCCTGCACCGTGCAGCCAATGCATGCCGGGCTCTTCCCAGCCCAGCCGGGGCTCCGCGGCTGCAGGGCCCTGGAGCAGCAGTGCCAGCGACATTCCTGCCCCGTCCCGGCCTGCGGGGCATCCCTGCGCCTCCTGTTCCCGGGAATAACGCGGAGCTCGGAGCGCTCGGGGAGACGCGGCCGCGCCCCCGGTGATCGGGGGAATTCGGGGAATTAATTTGGGTCTCCCTTCAGCACTGCCACGGCCTCCTACCCAGCAGAGCTGCTCCCCAGAGCCAGAGGGATGGTGGTAGTCACGGGGCAGAACAAAGTGAGTGCCACCCCGGATGATGCCATGTCGAGCTCGGATGCAGAGGATGATTTCCAAGAGCCGGCCACTCCCACCGCCACCCAGGCAGGACAGGCGCTACCTCTGCTGCCTCAGCAGGTAAGAGCTCACCTGAGACGGGCATGAAGAATTCAGGATTTCTTTGTGGATACCCAGCTCACTTAACATGCTGGAGGGAAACGAAGTCTCTTGAATTTATTCGAGTAGCTCGGCAGGTTTATTTACAACTTCCATCCAGGTTTAGACCTGGGACACACAGTTAAGTGTTTATTCTGGTACTTAAGGCATTGTAAGATTTTAGGCCCGATGCAAAGAAATACAAAATTTTTTTCAGTGTATGGCATAATCTGTTTGTGTAAAGGAACTGTCAAGGTGCAATCCCAAGGCTGACCTGAGATTTCTTCCCTTTTTTTTTTTTTTCCTGTGTAACGCTGGGGAATGGGTTTTGTTTTGTACTTTCCCCAAAAGAGCCATTAATATCTCAAATATCTGCTATTCCAGCTGAATGATTTCTGCTGTTTCAGATTCCCAGCTACAATTAAACCACTCCCTGATTCCTCCCAGCAGCCAAAGCATCCAAATTTTCACCCCTCAAAGCTCCCCGATCTGCCAGTGGGGCAGGAACCACACATTTATCCCGGTGGCAAACTGCAAGTGCCTTTTGGGAGCTGTGTCCTTGTCACCTGCAGAGGACAGGAGGCTCCTTTCTGATGTCCTGGTTGCTTTTGCAGTTCCCAGAAGTTGTCCCACTGAACGTGGGGGGGATGTTTTTCACCACCAGACTGTCCACGCTGCGCAGGTACGAGGACACCATGCTGGCAGCCATGTTCAGTGGCAGGCACTACATCCCCACAGATGCTGAGGGCAGGTACTTCATCGACAGGGATGGCACCTACTTTGGGTATGTATCCTCAAAGGTCTTCCTGAAAACTTATTTTGAACCTTATTTTGAACAGTTTTTTGCTTAGAGTTAAATTGTATTTGTGCAGTGTTACACACCTTCAAAGCATCACAGGAGTAACTGCAGTTAAAAATTCTTTGTTGGTTGTGCAGTGGGAAAGGAAAACAAGAAATGCTTTCAATTTGTGCATTGTCTCCCCTAGAGTATCTCCTTTCAAGGTATCAAGTTGTTCTGATGGTTTAAAGAAGTGTTTGGCATTGCTTTACCTAGGAAACTCCTTTGCACAAGGCTGGGTTTTAATTGATATTCAGTATCTGTAATTAGGAGGGAATGGAAGGAATGGATCTAGGATTCTTACACAGTTGAAAATACAATGTTTTCAGTCTTTACACAGGATATATCTGCTAAAAGAAAGCCCAAGCCTTTAAAGAATTTATTTTTCTAAATTATTTTTGTTGGTAATTCCATATTCCTTCACTTCCAGGATTCCTTCCTAAGTGCTCAGCTTTTATTTTATTTTTTAATTAAACTAACCATGATTACTAATGCGTGAATTGGGGTGAGATTGCTAAAAAAGGTGATCAGTGTTCATGGAATCAGGTCTTTGCCCAAAACACACATTGCAATTCATCCCAAATTTCTTGTTGTTCCTTTATAGACATTTCCTTATTGTCTTCAACAGAGGAGCATTGAATTATTTTCAAACACTTTTGGTTTGTGCCATAATCTGGGACAGAAATATATTAAGCCACTGTGTTTATTCTAAAATAATTGTGTCTTTGCATGAGGCAATTGTTGGAAAATCAATTAATTTATTAATGATGTTATCAACCTCAATTGCAGATAGAGCTGGGACAGAGAGCCAGGTTATTGTGCTGTATTTGTTGTCATTCTAGGATTGCAGTAATGCTTCTTTTATTTGATAAGATTTTCTTGGTTAACACTTACAAAGTGATTTTTTTTATTGTTTATTTGATAAGGGTTTTGTTGTTAATACTTATAAAGTGATTTCCTTCCCTGTCAAAAGATCCTGCTGCTGAACAGTGTTTCAGAACTACAAGGAAACGTTCTCTCTCTTTTTAAAAAATTCTGATTATTATTCTGTAAATGGCTCTGCTCTGTGAAGAGAAACCTTCATTGCAGATGTCCCATCCATTCAGCTGGATCTGTGTGGAATAAAATGTTCATGATTCTCTGGGAAAACACAAAAGTTTATTTTGTCCCAGACCTAAATTTGAAATGCAGTGACCACAATCTCTTTCCCATGAAACACTCTGGCCTCTTCTGTGATATAAATGGTTTCCTCCACACTGAGTGTTTGGTTTAAAATCCACTGATATTTTTTCAAATGAGTTTTGACATCAACTGAGGCAAAATGTGAAATGATGGCTTGGAAACCTGAATGTGGCAAAAGGTTTTCCAAACAAATGTTGGGAATATGGCTTATTTATTTCAGTTACTGTCTCACAGAGCAAACAATGGCTATCCAGCATTTCCTCTCCTTTCCCACTTGCATCAGTTTTGGCAGAAATGTGTTTGTTAATGATATTTTTTGCCCTTTTTTTTTTGTAGAGACATTCTAAACTTCCTACGATCTGGTGACCTGCCCCCCCGAGAGCGAGTGAGGTCAGTGTACAAGGAAGCTCAGTATTATTCCATAGGACCCTTGCTAGACAATCTAGAGGATATCCAGCCTCTTAAAGGAGAAAAAGTTAGACAAGCTTTCCTGGGCCTAATGCCATATTACAAAGGTAAATAAACAAAGTAGCACTCACTGTTTCTTCTAGTGGGATTCCAGTGTTAAACCTCGTGCTTTCAGTCTGCTCTCAGCTCCCAGACTGATCCCGTTGCAGCTGGGAAGTTTATTCTGTATTTTTCATGCTGTTTGGATCTTTGAGGTCTCCACATCCTGCTGCATCCCAGGGTGTGGATTTCTATGCTTAAAGGGAGCAAGATTAGGCCGTAGTGTTATTGAATGAGAGGGTTTGTCTGCATTTGTTCTGCCAGGACTTGCAACTGAATAAACTTGGCCTTGTAGTGAGGCCAGATAACTTGGGCATATAATAAGGCCACCGAGTTCACCAGATAACCAAGACTGATTCGATTATTCTACACTTTGCTGTTAATACCATGCTGAGAACAACTGCAGTGAAACGTTTCACGTGTGACGATTGCTTTTGATCTCTTCGAATCCTCAAATCCTCGTGTGTTTTTTCCAGACCACTTGGAGAGGATCATCGAGATAGCCAAGCTGCGAGCCATGCAGAGGAAGGCCAGGTTTGCCAAGCTGAAGGTGTGTGTGTTCAAGGAGGAGATGCCCATCACTCCCTACGAGTGCCCTCACTTCAACTCGCTGCGTTTTGAGCGCAGCGAGAGCGACACCAAACTCTTTGAGCACCACTGCGAGGTGGACGTGTCCTTCGGGCCCTGGGAGGCCGTGGCTGATGTCTACGACCTCCTGCACTGCATTGTCACCGACCTGTCTGCACGGGGCATCACCGTGGACCACCAGTGCATCGGCGTGTGTGACAAGCACCTCATCAACCACTACTACTGCAAGCGCCCCATCTACGAGTTCAAGATCACCTGGTGGTGAGCTGGGGCTCTCACAGGGCCGAGAGGACTCCAGAGGACAAATGTCCTTCCAGGATTGCCTGGTGGTGAGTGTGAAAGGACTCCTAGAGGACAAATGTCCTTTCAAGATCGTCTGGTGGTGAGTTGTGGCAGAGAAAAGAGGTGAAAAGACTTCTAGAGGACAAATGTTCTTTGAGAGATCATCTGCTGGTGAGTTGTGGCACAGCAAGGGGTGAAAGAACTTCTAGAGGATAAATGTTATTTCAAGATCATCTGCTGGTGAGTGTGAAAGGAATCCTAGAGAACAAATGTCCTTTCAAGATCGCCTAGTGGTGAGCTGTGGCAGAGAAAAGAGGTGAAAAGACTTCTAGAGGACAAATGTTCTTGGAAGATCATCTGGTGGTGAGTGTGAAAGGACTCCTAGAGGACATATGTTCTTTCAAGATCATCTGCTGGTGAGTTGTGGTGGCACAGAGGACTTCTAGAAATTAAACATCTTGAAATGTTCTTTCAAGATCACCTGGTGGTGAGGTGTTGTGGCACAGAGAGGGGTGAAAGGACTTCTAGAGGACAAAAGTCTCATAAAAAAGCACCTGGTGGTGAGTGTGAAAGGACTCCTAGAGGACAAATGTCCTTTCAAGATGATCTGGTGGTGAGTTGTGGTGGCACAGAGGACTCTACAGGACAAATGTTCTTTCAAAATCACCTGGTGGTTAGTGTGAAAGGACTCCTAGAGGACAAATATTCTTTCAAAAATCACCTGGTGGTGAGTTGTGGTGGCACAGAGAGGGGTGAGAGGACTCCTAGGGGACAAATGTTCTTGGCAGGTGCGTTGCTGCTCACATTCCTTGGGATCAGCCTGCTGGCAGGGGTTGGGAAAACCTCTGGAAACTTGAAAAACCAGCCTGAAATCCGACTGTTGGCTCAGGTACCTTAACGAGGCACAAAACAAAATCACCTCATGGGAAGGATGGAGGGGAGTGGCTGAACATCTGCTAAAAGGTGCCACCAACCTCGTGGCTTCAGGATGGAATTGCAGATTTTTCCTGCATTTTTGGGAATCTGGGGTGCTACTAAAGCTGACGTTTCAGTTTTACCCTCTTAGAAATGTTTTAGTTCCTCCTTCAACTTTATAAAATTTGAGTCACACCCAGCACAAAGATTCTGGAAATGTCATTTTGATGTACTAGATAATTTGAAAAAAAAATGGAGTATTCTCTATATATAATTAATTGTTGTCAGGGTTAGGCTGTATTTCTTTTTTAATTAAGAATCTATGTTGTGAATTATAATGTTATACTTCAATTATTTCCGTTGTTATCAAAAGGAATAGCAGACCTGGAATATATTCCTTAATGCTTTTAGGAATAATAACTGTTCATGGAAGACTTGTGCCTGTTTTTAGCCTTAGAAATTCTACATGTTTACAATATCTACAAAAAAAAGCTCTTTAGAACCAGGTCATTTACAAAGGCTTTTGGTAAATGAGAAAACCCTGTCTGTATGTTCCTATTAGCAGTAGTAAGAGGAATATTTAATGTATATTATTTTATTACTGAATCTTTTTACATTCGGTGATATTAAACTTTATTTTAGACTTAAAGTCAGATGATATTAGACAAGTGCTTCCTTCACCTCACCTTTTCCAGACAATTAAATCTTCATTTTATCCTTCTTGTTGACCCTTCTTGGTGTCATAGAAGGAAAACCAAAATTCAGACTTGAGATATTTCTCCACTCTAAAGCAGTAGGAAATTTCTTTCCATGCTGGAAGAGGCAGCACTGCAGAATTATAATTTCTTCAGAAGGTCATTTTTGTACTTCTGACATGAGCAACCACATCCCAAATATCAACTACTGAATTCAGCCCAAAACTGAGAGGGAGAAAAGTCTGAAAATCTTATTGTTTGTGAGGCACAAAAAACTCCATGCTGCTTGAATGGGCTTTGAAATAATCTTAAAGAGAGAGAAAGAGTAAATATTTGCATATTGCATTCCACTGGATTAATTGATCCCAGAATATTACTTAATTAAACTTCTGACCAAAATCCTTAAGAAACATTAATGACAGTGATCGAAATTCTCAGATTTCTGAGGCAATTTTTAGAATAACTCGAAGAACTTAAGGATCAAATTGTCTTGCAAAAAAAGAGATCATTTTTTCTGCCTTGTCACCCTTTGAGATATTTAATTTAGGAATGGAATTGTCTCTCTGAGGTGGGTGTCTCCCTGCTGATCTCTGCAATCCTTACACAAGATCATTTCAAATGCTGAGTTTCAAGGGCAGAGATAAATTTGAATAGAGGGAATTCTGCACATTTGGATCTAAATTTAAGTTTGTTTCAATTGTTTCCTGAAATAGCAGCCTTGCTGTTACAGGTTCTTGGAGTCATGTTTGACACCCCAGAATTAAAAGTTCAACTGAGACTAAAGTTTCCCTGCAAGGAGAGGAAATTTTGCTTGATTTCTTTGCTGCTTTGCTGCCCTTCATTTTTTCTTTCTTTCCAAGTAATCTAAATTGCAAACCACAATTTCTTATAAAATTAAAAACCATCTTAAAGCTGAACCTTACAAAGTTTTGGTTGCTTGTGCACTTCAGATATTTAAGTTCAGGATTTTCAGATGGTCAGAATTACAGATATTTACAATATTCAGATTACAATGAGTAATCTCCAGTTTTACTGGAATTTTCAGTGAGGTTTTTTACCACTTTCCATAAATATATTTACAGAACTCTGTTGGAATTCCAGCACTCCTTGCAGAAATGGATCACAATTTGATTTTTTTTTTCTGGTTTGGCTTTAGGAATTTCCCTGCTGTTGTTCAGGAGAAGCTGTGATGCCAAAATTCCTCTTTCAGTCATTTTTGTTACTCCTTGATACGCACACACTGGGATTTTACAACTTTTTCCTGTTCATTACTTAAATAATTAAGGAAAGCAATCCAACCAAAAAGAGAAAATGAAAACCTTGGTCTGGATCAGCTGTGTCCTAATCCAAGTTCTCATCCTCCTGAAGACATGAAGTGCAATACTGGAAAGGAAAACATGAATTTAAGCCCACGAGCTTTCATTAGTGCTGAGATTTGTGATTTGTTCAGGTTAACAATATTTTAATTGTCCCAAGCAGTCTTTGTTTACAAGCATTTAGCTGCTCTTGCCCAACCTGTGCTCATTTTTTGGGAGAAGCAGAAGAATTGTGCAGGTGGATGGCAGGGAGGTGTAATCTAAAAACTGGGTTATGTGACGTGACTGATTCTCTTTTCTGGGCCTGTAGCTTTTGAAATTCCACATTTGCAACAAAAATGGGGAGTGGCTGATCTACTAAATCCATGTTTGAGAGACTGAGGATTTTTATGTAGAATTGTATCATTAAACTATGGAATACTGCTTTTTATTTTTTTTTCCCATTTAGGACTTTTCTTTGTATCTGTGCAGGCCAGAGTTTTACTAACACATATTTTTCTGTGCTCCCCTAGCTTTTTTTGTCACTTCATCATCTACAGAGCCTCTTTTCCACCCTCACACCCCCAAATCCCTGTGTTTGTGAGCAGTAAATGGTCTCCTGTCCATTTGAATATTGGAGGAATGCTGAGACAGTGGAAGGATATTTATTTAAAATTAGAATTGTTAACTATTTTTTACATTGCTGTGAACAAAAACATGACAAGACCAATTTTTTTTTAACATTCCCTTCATATTGTGGAGTGGTTTTAAACAGGGAACAAAGGCAGGTGTCATAAGAAGTGAGTTATCCAATTCCACAGCACATGAAATGTTTCTGCATCTGTATTATGCTTGTGGAATAGGCAGGGAAAATAAAAATAGGAAAATAACCCTTATGAAGCACCCAAAAATGACATGAAAAGGTGTTTATGCTGCTGAGCTCAAGAGTTAAGAAAAAAGATCTAAAAATAACTTTTAGACTTGTAGACTTTTAACTTGAATACCCAGAATTCTGCACAGGAATCTGAATTTCCATCCTCCTCAGAGGAAAGTGAAGGTGCTGCCAGCTTTGATCTGGGGAGCCTTTGTGCCATAAATGGATCCTCTGTGGTCCTTGTGGTGCATGTGCTGGATTTTTAATTTCAATTTTTTATTTTAATGAGGAATCAGTTTTGCATCTATGAGAGTGTGAGGTGGGTTTTTTGTTTTTTTTTTTAAGCACTTCAGGTTTATTACCTTAAACAAAAGCAGTGAATTATTGCAGCAGGGATTTCTTCATCACCCCCTTTTGAGAGATGTTTTGGTTTTTTTGAAGTTTTAGGAATTCTTTTTGAGACAGCTCATGATGTAATAAATGCAAATACATGAATTTGTTAATGTGAATATTTTTGAGATTTTGTTGTTAGTTGTGTAATATTCTTCCCTGAATGTGGCAAGAGTGATAAGGGTTGAGTTAAACACTGGTTTTGTGATAAGCCAGCTCATGCCTCAGGTATCTGCTGCCCTCATTTGGAAATTCACCCATCCCAAAGCCTGTTAAAAATGAGGAAAACCAGGAATCTCCCCTGGCTCTGCACAGTGAGCCCTGAGGAGAATCAGGGCTCCTTCCTCCACTCCAGGCTCCATTCTGGGCACAAAGTGCTCACAGGGCCTTGGAGGCAAAACTCCAACACTTGTCTTGAGCAATGAGCTCATTCACAGGAGCACCCGAGCCTGGCCTTGGAGGATTGTGAAAATTCCAGCAAACTGAAGGATGTGGAGATCTTAAACTGCTCTGAGAGCTTTGTTAAACCCTGATGTGGAGATCTTAAACTGCTCTGAGAGCTTTGTTAAACTCTGATGTGGAGATTTTAAACTGCTCTGGGAGCTTTGTTAAACTCTGATCTGCCCTGAGTTGGTGCAATGGATGTTTTGTGATATAATCCTTTGAGTTTTTGGGGTATCTGAGTTTTCCCAGTGAGCTGATTTCCAGGGTGTTCTGAGCACTGGTTTTTGGAAATAAGGGAGTGGGAGGGAATTCATTCCCCAGGGACAATCCTCACAACTCTAAAGGAAATCTTTGAGATCCCAGTCCCCACTCCCCCATTTGTTAGTGGAGGAGGAGATGAGGTGTCTGGGCTGAGCATTCCCAGTTAATGCCTCCACCTGGATCCCCTCAGCCCCTTCTCTAACCTTTCACAGCTACAATTCCTGCTGCAGGAAATTTCTCTCTTATCTCCTGCACCCTCAGATTTGTTTGCCAGGTTGCTCAGCCTGTTTTAAACTCATTATTAAACTAATATTTTAATATCGCAGTGTGGTGACTGTTAGTTGCTAAAGAATCTTATTTATAAAATCTCATTACTCTCAAAAATACCTGAAT